TCATTTTCGTTTATACTAATCTTCCCTAATTGCTCTTCAGCAGCAATTTTCAACTCGCGATTTTCATCACGAAGGCTTTGTAATTCGTCATCTTTTGCCTTTAATCTATCATTTAATTCTCTTATTGATTGTTCAGCAGTTTTCAATTGCACATTCAAATCGTTAATCATCCTATCCTTGCCTTCAACATCAGATTTAAGTAGGTTGATTGTCACATTCTTTGCTTCAAGTTGACTCTCGAGTTGAACAAATTCACTAACCTATATCGTGAAATAGCATAGCAAGTGAACAATAAATACGTAAATTGATAAAAAAGATAAAATGGAATGAACAGGTTAAATAGGCTTAAATAGCCGTGACAAACCTGTCCAACGTTATTAGCATTATTATTAGTATTAATATAAGTATTAGTATTTTCGATCATGGGTTTGCGTGTCGTAAATTGTTGTTGTTGTTGCGCATTGCCCGAGAAAGATGAATTTGTTAAGATTAATTTGGTAAGATGGTCAATTCTTTCTTTAAGAGCTGTTCGAACTAATTGTGCTTCCATCATTTCTTCTTCATGCTATAAAATTATATGAATCGATAAATAATATATATATATTTTTTTTTATCTATAATAAACATTATATCAAAAATTGAATGTATGTACTTTGGCCTTTTCTTGTTGCAACATTTGAGATAACTCAGACTCTTTCTCCTTATAGTTTGCATCATTAGTTCTTTCAAGTTTAGCTTTAAGCTCCTCAATTTCCATACGATATTTCTGCAATAGAGCTTTATCATCCATTACCTAAGTTTGTACAAGTTTAGTTAAAATAAAATTTAAAAAGAAAATAACTTTGATGTAATGTCAGCATACCGCATTTGTATGTGCTTTAGTAACCACTTTTTTTATTCTGGACGCGAATTTTAAAGTGTTCTGAGACTCTTCATGATTTATCGCAGAAGGAGATATAGTACAAATTACAGAAACTCGAGCATTCCCACTGAGAGAATTCTGAAGAATTCGAGTCAATTTGGAATCACGAAATGGGACATGACCACTACCAAAAAACACATATTAAAAAGGGAATATGAAAAATCTAATACATCTCTCCGACTTGATGAATGTTTACCCAGAGTTATCCGTTAATTTTGAGATCACAGTACCAAGTGTCAAAAGACTTGATAAAATAAAGATACAGTTAATTTTTAAAATTAGGGAGAAATAACAAATTTATCAGTAAGTACAAACCTTTTATTAATATAAGCGCCTTCTTTTCGACGATCAGCCGAAGAAGCAGCTTTTTCAGAACCAGCTAAATCTATTAAATTCTAATATAAATTAAAATCTAATTAAATAATGAACATACATTATCAAAGATGTACCAAACATTTGAGCATTTAAAGCTTTTACCAAAACAGATAACGAAACAGAAGCAGATGCTTTCTGTCCTGCAGTAGAATAACGATTTGGTCTAGGTGGCAATGAACCTTTAGCAGTACTTTCGACTACCTGTTAAATGAATAAATACGGTACTATAGATTAAAAACGAATATAGTTGAGTTGTAAGTTATAGACAAAATATAAAACATACCATCTGAAAAATGGTATGAGACCGACTACTTCTTTCATTCCAATCAGTTGCGCTCATATGACGATTAGCTAATTTAATATTTTCCAGCAGTTTATAACTTTATATTATGACTTAAGCATGATAATAATTAATTATTGATTCACAAACCTTCTCCTTTTGAAATTTCTTTCATAACTTGTTTAGGTGTCGATACCACGACTTCTTTTAGAGGACTTACATACACACCACGCTGATATGAAATAATATTAATAAATGACATTAAATGATATTAAATGATATTAAATGAGAGTGTAAAAAATATCGGTTAAAAAATATATATAATAAAATGATACAAACGCGTTTGTCTTCGTGAATCCGTAAATCATCAGTTTCGGGACATAACAAATCGCGTACGGTTTCATTATATATCTCCATATAAGAAACTCGAAGTAAAAACTCTCTCTCTTTACACTAAATATAATATTGCAAACCTTATAATTTTACTATAAACATATCAAGAAGGTCTACAAGTAAAACACAAAATACATCACTTACCTCCTTGATGTATTCAAATACGGCATCGACAGCTTGCGGAATAACACCTGGTCGTGACTCCGTACCTATGCAGGATTTTCAAGCGAATTAATAAATTGAAAATAAGTGCATAAAATAATAATAATAATAATAATAATAATATTAATACCTGTCTGTAAAATACATATTATTCATTATCAAATGAGACTATATATACCGCATTATTAAACTAAAATCTTGATAATTCATACCATAGTCTATAACCATAACAACAATAATACTAGTTTAATATATGTTATTTGTATTCAATAACTAAGATTGAGCGATGCTTACAAAAGTCTTTCCAGAGGCAGTCTGCCCGTAAGCGAATACAGTGCCTTCATGACAAAATTTTAATTTATTATAAATTAATTACTATAAGTTAAGGTATTATAATAATATATTTTAACTACCGTTATAGCCTTCCATTGTAGACCTGGTAATCATAAATTCCAATGATTTATAATTTTAATAATCAAGATCACCTAATTGCATATATGAATATTTTTAATTATCTTAATTTACCTAATAGTATCTCGC